TTTCTTGTGTTCAAAAAAGAAAGTGATAGATTGAATTCTTTTTTTGGTTCAATATACAGATGCTTCAAGATTGAAGGATTTAATGAAAATTTACCAATTGTTACTAATATTGTTTTAAGGCCAAGCATAAGTAGAGCGTTGATTTAGTATAAACGACCAACTTCTGGATAATAATATCCTAACTGATACTCTTGTTGCACAGAGAATTGTACATGACGGCATGTGTAGTGAAAATATAAAATCATCCCTATTGGCTATGACAACTAAACCTATGGGACATGTTAAGGATGCACAAAAACTATACTTTAGCAGTCAGAAAGAGAGGTTCCTGAATGCTTTAAAAACTGACCGTGATACTAAACTGAAAAATTTTAATAAAGAGATAACTAGTTTTATTTTAATAAAAAGATTACTATAATGAACAAGTTCACACCGTTAAAGGTGCCATACTTTAGCTCAGATATGATGCAGATGAGTATGCATTGCAAGCGAAAAAGCAGAAATCATTGATAAAAATAAAGTCAACAATTCTAAAATCTAATGCGCTAAAGAGAGTTGCCTCTGAAAAGCAGGACCTACTAGGAAAAATTACAGCAGCAAAAAAAGTGACAAGAAAGCTGAGATTTAGATTTGGATGTTTAAATTTTTCAATCGTTTTGTTTTTCTGATTTGATTATTTCTTTTTATGACTGGATAATATAAAACATAAAGTTTAGTTTGGCTGTGTATTTTAATAATTTTTGATTATTTATTGTTTGTTACTTAGTCATAAAGTCAGCTTATTAATCCTAGTAGTTATCGCAAGAAGCAACAGTCGAAAGAAATAAAAGATTCGTTGCTACAAAAAAAAAGATGTGGTAATTACTCGAAAAATTATTGTTGAGATAGACTGCTTAAATGATCACAAAAATCACCCTCTTGGCAAGGTACTAATGCTAGAGTTGTCTTAAATAGTCTTATTTTAACTATAACCAATAGTTTTTGTATATTCATAAAGTACCTACACAAAACGGTGACAACGTTAAATCCTAAATTGGGGCATGTGGACTTTTTAGTCGTTGTAAAGGCCACTCGCCTATGAAAAAAGAAGCTCTGATATAAAACTCTGATATTTGTTTTAATTAGCTTTTATATCAACAGTAAATCTTTTTAACATTTCTTAGATTGAGCTACTCTCACAAAAAATTGATCTACGCTTATCAGTTAAAATTTCTGAATACATTAAAGATGGTGTTTCTAATGTTTGTGACATGAGAAGACTTTTAAATATTACTGTCAATCAAATGTTTGGAAAGAAAAATCTTCCTTCTAGAACCAACAGAAGATTTTATCCAAGAACTGACATAATTTGTTAGAACATGGTTAAAGAGCGTCTAAAGCAAAGGTAATAGAGTTTAAAAAATGCAAAATAAATAAATTTTGATGTTGCAAATATTATAATATGTAGGACTATTTAAGAGAGGTTTTAGGTGTTTATTATTGTTAAAGATAATTTCAGTCATTCATTCATTTAATCAATCTTTTTAATCAACCAATTCAATCAATTAATCACTCAATCATATAATTAAAAATAACAACAAAGATATGTTACTAATTTTTATAACTTAATATTTCATTTTCTAAAATAGACAATAAAATTTAACGTTTTAGATACTCAAACATCGACCAGGATTGCTTAGAAATCAAAATAAAAGAATGGAAAAAAATATGGCAATGAGATGTTGTTTTTGGATGCAACATACAAAACGACACGATATTCTTTACCTTTGTTTTTTTTGGTTGTCAAAACAAATGTGGATTATCAAATTGTAGCAACCTTTGTGAGCAAAAGTGAAACTTTTGAATTGATATCTGAAGCACTTGTTATCTTAAAGTCTTGGAATGAAGATTTGCAACCTTTTTATTGCATGACTGATTATTGTAATGCTGAGATACGTGCTCTCGAAACTATTTTTATTGGTGCGTATTTGTAAAACAAGTTTAGTATTTATTTATTTTACATGAAGTTAATTTAACTATACAAACATCCAATGCATCAACTTATTTTGAATATATTTTTTAGGATGTAAGGTATTTATCTGTACAAAAAAAACAAAGAACAGTCTTGGGACCGTTGGCTAAAAAAGCTATCAAGTGGTTGCTCTAACAGAAAAGATGACATTTTATGTATTTTAAGACAACTCGCTTGGTCAAACTCAAGTGACGAGGAAGAAAATGCTCTAAGAATATTGGAACAGTCTAAATTCTGGAGTCAAGAAAACTTTACTAAGTTTAAACAACATATAGAAAAGTATTGGCTCCCAATTAAAAAAGTATGTAAAATATAAAATTTTCGAAGCAAGTAAGATGTTTAATATATATTTTTATCGAAATACAGGAAGGTTCAATAAAGAGTTATTTAATTTTTTTATATTTAACTAAACAAAACAAAGTTAAAAAAAAGCTTTTTTTAAATTAGAGATGGGTTTGGTGGTACAGGCAAGATCGTCTTCTTATTAATTGCAATACAAACAATGGTGTGGAATGGCAGAATAAGTCTTTCAAATATACTTATTTATAGCGACATAAAAACTCATCATTGACTTTGCTTATTGACGACTTCTTCATTGATAAACTTGACAGGTATCATTCTTTTAAAGTTTCGTTACGTCTGTATCAATTTTTAAAAGTAATACACACCCTAATAAAAACAACAAACACTTCCTCGGGTTTTTTTTTCAGTAGAAAAGTCTTTATCAGTTAAAAAGACAATTTCAGAAAACTTAGGAATGTGATCAGCAGGTTTATATATTTAATAATAATTCATAGTATACATTGTTCACGTAACTAATATAAAAGTTTTTTTCCTTATTCTTACATTTTGCATTTTAAAGATATCGTGTCTATGGTGCTACATACCAAATCACTTTAACATTTGTACATTTACACAATATTGGGTTTTTTTCTAATACTTTATTAAAGAAACTTTGTTACTATGAATATTATTTCGTTTAGCTACTGATTCCAACTTTAAAATGGATGCACGTTATAGAAGGTATGCACGTTGGGTGCCAAGTTATCTTTACAACCGTCCTCATAGCTTTGTTAAACATTGCCTAATAAAAAAAAGTAACGTTGAGAATCTTGATTTGTCCGGAGTAATCATGATTAAACATGGAGTTTTTGCTGTATTAAGTTCTACCAAGACAGCTTCTGAATATTCTGTATCATTTGGTGATGAGATTACAATGCCAAAATGTAATTGTTTAAATTGGATATCAAATGCATATCCATGCAAACATTTTTTTTTAGTATTTAGAAAGTACCCTGCTTGGTCATGGAGTGCTTTGTCATCATTATATCTAAATTCACCATTCTTAAATTTAGATGCTGATGATTATGAAGCATCACACGAAAAACCACCGTTTAGTAAGTCGGAAAGTTCAATTCTACCTAAAAAAGAATGAGATGTCATTAAAGATTGGAATGAGAAATCTAAAAAAATTACAAGTGTTTGCTCTGGAGTAAATGTTAGGGAAATGCTTACAACAATTCAAAACCTAACATATGAATTTGAGGAAAATTCAGAAGAAATTGTTCTTGTATATAGCTCATATCTCTCATTAAAAAACTTGAAAAAACTAGAACTAAAGAATCAGGAATTCCACTTTCTCCATTGGATATCAAATGCCTTGTCATTCCAATTCCTGTTCGTAAACCAATGAAGCTTCCTACTGATCGCGTTGGTAATCACAAAGATATGGTTATTGCATCTTCTAAAATATTTCTAGAGGAAAAAAAAATACAAAACCGAGCCAATTGAGGTCAACATTGTTGAACATATTGATGGGAATAGTATAATTATTGATGAGGAGTCAGTTACTATTAATAAAAATGATGGATTCACGATAAAAAGACTAAACCATTTATCACCAAACTGTAATATCTCTTCCAATAATTTAAATGATATTTTAACAAACCAAATGTTGTCTGACATTGTAATCCACACCATGCAAAAGATGATCACAGGTGTAGACGGTCTCCAAGACCCGGTTCTTGAACAAAATCTATCGTTCCGTGTACAAAAAGCATCTTTTGTTCAGGTGCTGCATGATGGCGATGCCCACTGGTTGGCTATAAGTACTTTTGGATGTTCTGTTGGTGAGGGTTTTCTTTTAGGCAGTTTTATTATGGAAAAGTAAAAAACCATGTTGTTTGGCAAATTTGTGCTATTATGCATTGCACTGAAGATACATTAACTGTCCGCGATGAAACGAAAGTTGAATATAATTCAACAACAACAGTTTAATACTTTATTAATTTTTTCTTCGAGGAGAAAGCTTAAATTAGCTTTGTTAAAATATAACCGAATGCATAACACTTTGACCTTCGCTTTTCAGAAATATAAAATAAGAATGTGAAAAAGAGAAAGGTTATTGTACTTATTACTTCATACCTCAAAAATATTATTTAATAAATATTTATGTAAGTAGTAGTATTTATAAAAAGAGATTATTTAATAACTATTTATATAACTAGTAGCATTATATAGTATTTATATAACTTCAATATAGATAATCGTGTAAGATGTAAAAAATTCATAACAAAAAAAAATAAAATCATTTTTTCTTTTTCCATTTTATTAATGTTCAAAAGTTCTAAAAAGATCTTGTTTTAAATAAGAAACAGTTTATTATTTTATAATATTTCTTGTAAACAAAGTGAATTTTTCTTATATAGCGCTAAAATAAATTTACTTCAAAATATACGCAACTTTCTTATTGCGCTCCATTTTGTTTTTTTCTCAAACAATTAATTTACGCATAAATTATATTAAATTAGAAGTTGGACTTTGATCGCCTTTTGAACTGGTATGCAATTATCACATTTTATCTAAGAAATTAATCAAATTTGATTGCTTAAAATTTTGTTTTCTATTAAAAATTAAATGACGATATTATGAAAATTCTATTAATGTATATAATGCCCGTTTATCAATCTTTGTTTCTTTGTTTTTTTTGGTCCCTTTAATTTTCCACAAATGCAACATAATTTGTCTTGCCAATGTTTTATACCTGAAAACAAATTAATTCTAGTTTAAACATATTTTCTTACATTTTTTTTTCATTTTACATTGAATTTATAATTTTTATTTGAAATTAATTAACAAACCTCCTTTATCTATAAGATATTGTACAATCTCCTTTCTATAAACATCTACTTCATTAGTTGGAAACAACTGTAATAGCTCCTCATTATTTAAAAAGTTTTCAGCAAACTACAGCAAAATTAAAACACCAAACACTTGTGAAAAATAACATAGTTTTTCTTAGTCAGACATTTTGATCTACTTTAAAGAAGAAGACATATTAGTTTCATTAAAGTTACCTTAAGACAAAAAACTCCACAAGATATGCTGTTGCTTTGCATGTTGCAACGTTCTTATTTGAAATTTTTTTGCAAACTCCATATCTTTGTTTTAAGTAGGTACTAAATTGTCATTTAAAAAAAAGATAGAAAAAATAAAAAGTTACCATTTTTTATTTAGTGTACAATTAAATACAGAGACATTCTTACTTCCATTTTATTTCTTGGTTTTTTATAGAAGTTACCATTTCTCCTAGAGGATATATGTAATAAATGGTCTTTGCTAATGGTTTGATTATCTGAAACACAATAAAAAATTAAAGTGTGTTTAAAATTTTATTCCATAATTTCTTAAATTTGAAGTTGTATTTATTGAATCATACTGTAAGCGTCCAGTGAAAATTTGCCACCATGTAGCATATAATTGTATCATTTTGAATAGTTCATCCTAATTTATAAATAAAAAATTGACTTTTATATAATACCTTTAAAAATAAATACCTTTATAAATAAATACCTTTATAGATAAATACAAGTTACATATGTTTGTTAATCAATTTTATATTTATTTTTTAAACTTAGTAGACATTCAATCATTCCGTAACCTAATTATATTACCGTAACGTAATTAAAGATGCAAAGACAGCGTTTATACAAACGTTTATCAATACTCAATAGCGTTAAAGTTTAGTATTTATTTTGTTTACATTTATTTAAAATAACTTTTACTAGAATAAATCCTCAATTTAGACCTAACAACGTACCTACACTTTTTTCAATTACACAACTTTCAATTGAGGAATCAACCCTCTCCGAAACACTAAGTCCTTCCAAAGTGTCAGTTATCTATGTGATTTAAATAGGAATGGATGTATATGTATTATTAAAGTTATATTTAAATTGTATAAATGTGTTTTTAATAACTATACGAGAAAGCAGTTTACAACGTTTGAAATAATTGTTTACGCTTTCCTTCTTTTTTTTTGTTCTGCTCCCTAGATAGTATGTATCCTCGGGTTTGGTCAAATCAATGGCATGATCATCTAAAAAAACAGTTTAGAGACCATTAATATATATAAAATAGTCTCTTAAATTAATCAAAATTAAATAAATGTACCGATACTGTCTTTTTGTTAACATTGGATATTTAAATCTTCTGACTCAATTGATACTGCATTATCTACCAAAGAAATAATTTTTAAAAAACAAGAAAATAAAAATGCGTCAAAAAATATAACTAAGAGTAAAAATAAAAAGTATATATATATAAAAAAAGAAAAATTCTAACTAAATTCTACAGTTACCTTTGGTCAAATCATTTTCAATAAACTTTTTAATATGTATCCTTTTGTGAGCTCCTGGCAAAGAAGTACCATTTAAATCTGTTAGTTTAAAGTTTTTACCTTTCGTAATGTACGACACATTAAAAGGGCCTTTAAAACGAGGTTTGAAAACAGCGCCTTTGAAAGCATGGCCTTTAAAACGAGGTTTGTAAGCAGCCCCAACGTCAATAGTTTCTTGAAGTCCTTTAGTTTTTTTTAATAAACGTTTTTCATACTCCAATTTTTGTTTTTCTTGAGCCACTTTGATATTCTAAAATTAAATTCTTATGTAGTTTAGTATTCTTTTTCAGTTTAAGTAAACCATATTGTGGGAACTTTTGCAATCAAACTGAAAGTGTAACCAGTTCATTTATTACAAACGCTTAATTTGTGCATTTACACTTATTACATTAACTCAATTAAAAGCATTTTGCCAGGATTAGGGTTTGGGTTATAATATATCGTTATATTTAAAAAAACTGCCTCAATAAAAAATGAAATGGATCCTATTATATCTTGGATTACAATCATTTGACAGTTATATTTTTAATACGGAAAAAAACTCTTATAACAGATATAGAAAGTTAATGATATAAAATAAAGTAAGTTAATCCTATAATTTCTAACCTTATCTACCATTTCTGTTAAACTTTGCATGCGAATAATATTTTTTTCCATTTCGCTCTTTATTTCCATATCCGTTGTTTCAAAATAATTCTTATGCTACAAAATAGTCATGATAAGTAAGTAAATATATTTTTTTAAATATATATATATATATATATATATATATATATATATATATATATATATATATATATATATATATATATATATATATATATATATATATATATATACCACACATATTTTTTTTACTTGTTCAAATTCGTTACAACACACAGGCAAACGGCCCCCAAACATTATTTCGAAAGAAAACTTTTGTCTTTCAACGCACAACGGATACAATTTTCGTTAAATTCGATTACAAAAATTACATTTTAATAAGAGAGCTGTGGTAGTTTATTCCATCTGCCTGATTTATTCCATCCCACTGCGTAAAACTCAATACGAGAATGCGTTTTTAACTTATAGCCGTAAGAAATAATTCCTTCAAGTCCGAACATAGTTAAAAAATTAGTTAAATAGTTCCGTTTTTTATGCAGATGGAATAATCAACTAAAGTTTTAGATTATTCCATCCCAATGAGTAAAACATCAAATTAAAACTAATTTTACAACTTTTTCTTTTTGTTTCCATGTTTATGTTAGATTATTCCATCCGCTTCAATTATTACGTAAAACTGCTACTACTATTACTACAGCAGAATATTAGAATATTATCTTCTTTTTTTACATCTTTTGTGTCTGTAATACTCTTTTATTAATGAGAAACGGAAATAATTTTTTACTTTATTGAATTTCCAATAAAACTGCAAAATAAAAAAATTTAAATGAAACTTTTGAGTTAAAGGTGCCTTTTAACTGTTTCGGGTTTTTAAATTTATTTTCACCACTTCATATTGCAACAGCTTAGGAATCATTTCATTATCCTGTTCAATACAAAGTTTTTTTGGAGATTTGTAACAACCACGCACAAAAAATACTGTTCATTTTTTTCTGCACCACTACTCACTGCACCACTACTCACTGCACCATTACTCACTGCACCACTACTCACTGCACCACTCCTGGATCATTTTTTTATAGAATTATTATAAAAAGTACTATTAACAAAAACTTGCTCAGTTAGATCCTCCGTAAGACTTCTGACAGACATTCACCTGATGATGTATGATCACTGGGATCAAATTTTTATACTGCAAGAAAACCTAACAGCCTGTTAGTAAGAAACTTTTATTTAAATATACCAAAAGCGTGGATGCATACCAAAAGCGTGGATGTATACCAAAAGCGTGGATGTATACCAAAAGCGTGGATGCAAATCAAAAGCATGGATGCATACCAAAAGCGTGGATGCATACCAAAATTCCTTGGAAAAACATTAATTTTTTTTTTGGAATTTGGTTTTGCATTTATATCGGGAAGTTTTTTTAAAATAATAATGAAAAGCAAAAAATTTCCTCGACATTTCCTGAAATAAATTTCCTAGTAAAACGCAAAATACTTCCTTAAAATAGAATTTATATTTTTTCAAGTAATTGTGGTAAAAACCCACGTTTAAAAAAATTGATAAATAATTTTTAAGTTAAAACTAATCAAGTAGAAACTTTAGCATTAAAAGAGTTTGATATTTCTAAAAAAATTGATTTAACTTAAAATGAAAAAAGAAGACAATTATTTCAATGACATTTTAAACTATATTACGGAAAGGACATATCAAGCAAAAAGGACATATCAAGCAAAAAGGACATATCAAGCAAAAAGGACATATCAAGCAAAAAGGACATATCAAGCAAAAAGGACATATCAAGCAAAAAGGACATATCAAGCAAAAAGGACATATCAAGCAAAAAGGACATATCAAGCAAAAAGGACATATCAAGCAAAAAGGACATATCAAGCAAAAAGGACATATCAAGCAAAAAGGACATATCAAGCAAAAAGGACATATCAAGCAAAAAGGAAATATCAAGCAAAAAGGACATATCAAGCAAAAAGGACATATCAAGCAAAAAGGACATATCAAGCTTCATTTACCCTAAATAAAAAGCGCAATCTTACGGATCACAAAGTTACAGTGTAAAAGATATTTCATTCTAATATATTACATAATTTGTTTTATTTATATATATATATATATATATATATATATATATATATATATATATATATATATATATATATATATATATATATATATATATATATATATATATATATATATATATATATATTAACTCACGCTCACTCACGCACACTTAATGTATAATTTCTTTTTTAGATGGCAAGCTAAATCGTAACGTGGTGATAGGGGGTTTTTCATTTTTAGCAGAAGTTGTAGTAAACGAAGAAGAGAGATTAAAAATCTTTAATGCAGAACATGATAGTCCCTTGGGAGGTCATGGCGGGGAGAACCAAAAACAAAGTTAAAAATAAAAGAAAAATACTATTGGCCCAATATAAGTGGAGATATTGTAAAATGGGTACTTTTTTAGCAATAGATTTGTTTTAATTTTCAAGAACTAGATGGTTTAGTTAAACGAATTATAAGACTGACTGAATGAACATAGTTTATTTTAATTTAAGATAAAGCAATGCAAGCGATGTCAACAATCGGGAACGCTTTTATCATCGGTGGAACCATTACGTTCAATAAAGGTAAAAATAAGGAAATTTTTTATCTAAATAGCAATGATATTTGTTAACGTTAGGCAAAATTGAACGTTTGGCTGTTCGCCGAACGTTCTTAACAAATAAATCTATTGTACATAAAAGTAGATAGGATTAAATTAAACATATTGATTTACTAATACTATTAATTTAGGCTACTAATTTGGAAAATCTCAACCTGGATTTTAGTAACATAGTATAAAACAAAATGTTTAAGAAGGTTATATTTATTTAGTTTACAAGACTTATTTTAGACGAGTATGGGAGATTGTTGGAATCGATTTTGCTGGGCCCTTTATTGAAACAAAAATGGGCAATAAATACTTTCTTAGTTGTACCGATCTTTTTTCCAAATGGCTAGTAGCATACGCGTTGCCAAATAAAGATGCTATAACAGTGGCAAATGCTATAATAAAAGAGGGACAAAAAAATAATTATGTGAAACTTTTTTATTAAACTTATACAGTTATCAATGTTACTTTTATAGTTAAACTACGAAATGTATAAATTATTGGGGATTAAACAAAGAAAAACTGCTGTGTATCATCCACAATCGAATGGGCAGGATGAAAATACTAACAAAAACATAAAAAGGTACTTTTTATTCATTTCCGAGCGCATTTATGACTCTCTCTCTCATTTTCTCTCTCTCTCTCTCTCTCTCTCTCTCTCTCTCTCTCTCTCTATACATATATATATATATATATATATATATATATATATATATATATATATATATATATATATATATATATATATATATATATATATATATATATATATATATATATATATATATATATATATATATATATATATATATATATATAGAGGATGTTATAACCTCTTCCTTCCCCAAAAGAAGGCAATTTTTAAGTTATAGTCGGTTTTTTGAGAAATGTTGTCGGTTAGTCGGGCATTTGACAAATTTGAGTCGGGTGATTTAAAGTTTTGATGAAATTTTTTTTTATTAAGAAATAAGTTTGCCCTTTTTAAGATTCGCCCACCTCAATGTATTCTTAGATTCGCCCCTACATCAGATATTACAATCCTTAAAAATCATAACGACATATTTTATGATTTTAAATACTAAAGTTATATTGTTTGCTGAATCTTCATTCTATTTTCCATTTACTATTTTCTATAGGACATTTTTTTGCAATGTTGACAGATTGCAAATTTATTATTAATTATTGGCGCATCAATATGATCCCATAGATATGATTTAGTTTCTTTAATTATTCGTTAGTGTTATTCATGTTATTAACATTATTTAATTCTTGTTTGTAAAATGGCATTTTTGAAGTATATATTATAAATACATTTATTTATTAATAAAAATATGTATGCGCATTTGACACTTTTGAATATCAATAAATAAATAGCATTTAGTTACATTAGTTACGTTAGTTTATGAAACCTAATTAAAAGACATCTATAATGACGTGTTGGCCCGGGTCTATTTTAGGTTTTGGAGGCCTTTTTAATGACCAGAGCCTAAAAATGGCTTGAAATAATAAAAAAAAAGGTCCTCTAAATTTTTGGGGGGCCCTAAATTTGAGGGGCCCGGGGCTATAGTCCCTCCTAGCCTCCCCACCTTGAACCGGCACTGTAATTCATTTATGAAACACGTCAAAACTTATAAGTTTTTCTCCGAAAGCTACTGTTCCGCAAGTTATTGTTGCGAAAGAACTTATTTTAACATAAACTTTTGTTATTTATCATTGTTTTAAAAAGTAAATTTTTATATTGGTAATATTTTGTGATTTTGAAAATAACATTTAATTACAAAAATTTTAGTAATAAAAATGTTTAATTTTTACAATTATATCCAATTAGCGAACAAATTTTCATAATAAACTTCGTTTCGCAAATGCTACGTCCAAAAGCGCTTTTTTCGTCTATAGCAAATAAGATTTTTTTTCAACTTGCGAAACGCTAAATTTCGGAATTATCACTTGCGAAATGAACATTGTCAATTTTAAACTTTTAGTTTGTTTCGTTAAGAAAAAAGTTAATTTCTCGCTATCTATATCCTTTCGAGAGAATTTTTTTTCCGAATAACCAAAGCTTTTGGTTAACAAAAATTTAATTGTGAAAAGTATTCTCTACTGGCAAAAGAAATATTCTGTACCGGCGAAAAACATTAAACAAGGTTTTATGTTCACTGATAGCAAACTTCTTCTTCGAAAGTTTTATGCCAATTTTTAAGTAAAAATTTTTTTTATAATTATTACACAGCCAAAAAATTAATCACAGGCGTTTAATATTTTTTAATTATTTTGATCGAGGAAGATTTTGCGAAAAAGCTGTGATAATGTCATCGATATTTGGATGGCCATGAAAACTCAAAAAAATCCTTTTTAATTATCTTATTCATCTTTAATTTAAAACCATTGTTTAAAAAACTGAAAATATTTAATA